GTAAACGACCGTTAAATGAAATGATGAATTTTTGAAGGATTTTGAAAACGGAAAAATGATAGTCATGCCGGCCCAGCATCATCAACATTAAAAAATACCCCGGCACGAAGTGGTTAAGAAAGAGAAAACTACGATGAAATTATGAAACGTGTATTTAACTCAGACCAGAGCACATCTCAACTCTTGGCCCCAGATGCAATTTTTGAACACGTGGAATATCTCTCATTCCTTTTGAACAAATACATGTATTTATAAAGCATTCACATGCTTTATTATTTAATGAAATAAAGCATTTACACTGCCTGCTGATTTCAGAATGTTATTGCTCTCTTCTTGACAAGCACTTTGTATGTATATGCTACATGTATAACATTCCACAGCCTCATCAGCCATGATTCATGTGTAAAGAAAGGTAAAGGCAAACATTAACTTTTGCCCCATAACATTTCAATGACATCTCAGCTAGAAAACTTCTGGAATCTATCAAAACACTCTTCTGCATATGAAATTAATGTGGCACTCTTTCAAAAACTTTCCCCAAGGGCTATCAAGCTGGTACACATAAAAGAGATTTGGATCTATCTTTTCAGCACTGCCAAACCTCCAAGAACCTTCTGATGTAATTTGAAGACTCTTGAGGGTTCCTTTATTGAATGAGTGCCCATAAAAAACACAAAATCCAAGGGAGAGGGTGCTGCCTGGTGACAAAGAGTAATTAACCCTAACCCTCCTCAATCCTTCACCTGTTGGAGGACTGAGGAGTGTTAGGGTTAAGTAAACAAAAACAAAATGGTTTTCACTGGAAACCAAAGAAAAATGACCTCCAGTACAAGTTTCTGTTCAATTTCACCAGTGTTGACCATGCCAGTTATGGTTTATCCCCCCCCAACCACCCCTAAAATGCTTGCAAATCCCTGGGCCTAGGTCAATTTGTGTTCATTGCTATGGAGAAATATTTGGTTAATACGTGCACGGACATTGCGAGACTCCGCCTACAACGACGATTTGTGAAGACCCCATGCGAGCAAACGTATTGTTCTCAACCCATTTACAGCGACTTTTTTCCAAACCGTATTATCTGCAGCTGTCAACGACAAACCTTTTGTCCCGATTCGGGCATCACGTTTTCCAAGCCTGTCAACACCTTATCAATGCACTTTTGTGAGAACTTCAACATAATGTTGTTTCATCTTGACAATCTTTAATCAATGACATTGCGCCCCCGGACATACTGGTAATAGCGGCACCCTCTTTTGACTGGTTTTAGCCAATTAATGACAAAAGCAAAACGTACACTCAGGACGTGTGACGTACTTATCGGCACGGACTTGAATGTTTCTTCTCACTTGGCTATTCTTCTTGGCTTCTTCTGATCCAGGTGGTCAAATATTTGACTTTTAAATGTACTTTATTTATATTATTTTATTCATCAACATTAGATAAAAATTTAGCATCAATCAGAGATGCATAACATCGTCTTTTCATGTGTTTGGCGTGGGGTATTGGTGTACCTGTACATGATTCCAACAGACATGTACGTGGCTATAAACTTGTGCAAAATGAGAGTGAAAAATTGCGCTCCAGTCTTAACGACGCTCCGGCTATAGCGACAGAATTGTGAAAGTCCGCTGACCCTCGTAATAACGGGAGTCGACTGTGTTTTCACAATCAATGCCCACCTCTTATTCTACATGTAAATTACCTGTGGGATCACAAAATGTTAATGAGCTCGCAAGTACAAATTTAGCAATTTAGAGGAGAGCTAGAAATATAATTAATACAAGGCCATAAAACCTTTGCCACTGCTGTACCAGTAAAGAGAATCCTTGCTGACTGTGAAAGATCTTGGAATGCAATTTTCATTTTAAACAGATCCCCAGTGACCAGCATTCTCACCCCATGACTGAACAAATGTAGCTAGCTTGGAAGCCAAGTTGTTTGAATCATCATGTTGTTTATTGTTCTGGGTGGCGTTCCATATACCATGAGAGAGGTAGCTGGCACTCAAGGCTGCCCAGTTCTCAAGAGAGTCTGTGTAAATACAACAAAGGAGAATGGGCAATAAAAATGCATTGGTTTTAACGTAAACCTTTCGTTTGAAGATCACTCTGTAGGTATATTACTAACAAGCTTGCATTGGGGCAGGGGGTTTAATCCCCAATTTCTTGTGAATCCTGCTTTTTGTATTCATATGTAATGCTGCCGGGGATCTCATCACAAACAAAGACTAACAGCAACAACATTACTAAATGTAAACCAAACATCTCCTACAATAATCGAAACTTTTGCACTTTGTAGCTCAGCATATTACAGCAACGGTTGTACACATTTACAATATAATGAACATATGTTTGTAAACCAGAGATGAAGAACATAGGATAAAGTCAACGTTTCGATCGGGAGATCTTCATCAGGACTGACTAGAATAGTAGATGGCCAGGCATTAATACTGAAACACTCAAGTAATGGAAATAAACAATAGCCGTGTGGTAGGCAAGAGAAATAACTGCAGATGTCCATGCAGGTGTTACTGCCAAATGGGGTGTACATGGACACCAGAGTCAATGTTTATGTTCGCAGTCTGTTGAATAAACAATTTAATTTATACCTAAGAAACACAACAGTGAACCAGCTATATTCATTTATCAGAGATGATAAGTTAAATCCGGACTTGACAGGTCATGAAATGGGGCCTGTTTGACAAAGCTGCATTCATTCCAAAACTGTACTTGACTTCCCATTGTACTCTCTGACCACACGCCACCTGCTTATTTGTTCTAGTAGCCCTGCAACCCCAAAGATTTAGTTCAAATCACAAAGAATCTTGTTGGATTTGGCATGGTTATTGTTACTAGTTAATGGTTCAACTACAAATTCAGTGTGCAAAATATTCTTATTTCCGTTTGCAGCTAAAACCATTTTAGTACTGCGGTGCCCTTCTGCAATACTCTTCTACTGATGAACCATTATGTCATAACAGTAGTTCTAGAGAGTTGTCTTTCAGTGTTCATGGAAGCATTGTCTTACCAGGGTAGATATGAACAGATTTCTGTGCAGCACTAAGACATCGCTGGTTGGCAGGAATTAATTGACCATGCTGACCAACTGCTAGGGTGGCCAAGGCATATGTTGACACTGACTCCTACCAGGAGAGAAAGTTCATATAAAACAGCAATCAAAAATACAATCGGGGTAGAGAAATTAAAAAAAAAACTTTTTAAAACTTCTTGATGAACACGTCAGCATAACTAAACTATGTCCCAGGAGGAAATCTAGTAGTGCAATTGATAAAAAATACATCACAGGTGATTAAAAACTTGTATGGGCTACTTCCAATGTTTACAATCTTTCTGTGCATGTCATACAATGGGAGTTGTTGCCCTTTATAAGCTGGGAATGAACCCGAGGAAGATGGAACCAATGTTTTATCTTTTTCTTAAGTGCTAAATAAATTGAATGTTTCTTACCTTGGATATCTCTTTGTCCTGGAGGGAAGCATGGCTACAGACAATGGCTGCCTACAAATATCAGAGAATTAAACAATGCCATGGGAACTCACCCAACTGTCACGATAAACTTTAACCCTTAAAAAAGTATGACCAACGTTGTAATGGCAAAATTTGTCATCTGGTTACCTTGGCCTTTTGAGGAAGAAGTTGGAGAATGACCTCTGCCATAAGCCGCCACAACTCAGATAAACCAGGATGTCTGTTGGAATAGGATGAAAAATTGTGTGACAGGATTACTGGGTTATAAAAGCAGAAATATACCATGATCCTGCCATACGATAACTCCTAATCCTGCCTGATAAGATAAAAATTAAGAAAAAAAAAAAGGTTTTGAGACGTGAACCTACCTTCCTGTTGCTTTGGTAACCTGTCTGCAGGCAAGGTGAAATTGACCCTATAAAAACACACACACAGCAATTTAATATTTTAATAGACCCGTTCAAGATGAGAATTTGATCAATAAAAATTACAAAAGACTGTGACAAGGTCTAGAAGACCTGGACATTTAAATAATGCTTAGCATATTGATGTGTTTAAAAATGAATGAGGAACCAGTCTAAAGCAATACATATCACTACATTTGGTTGGTAACCTGACTTAGATGAACTTGTCTGTATGAGGGATCAGTATCAATACCTGGCAAAGATCTGCAGGAATGACAGAATCTCCCCCCTTCCTGGCTGTGAAATATGGCTGAAAAAAAAATAACCTGACCCTTTTGTAGTGCGATGATTGATATCCTGCGATCTAACCCTAAGTGTATGCAGGGCTCTACCTGAAGAGCATACAGCACAGCCCCAGCAAAGGCCACATCCGCTACAAAGCCATGCTTGTCTTTCAATTTCTGAAGTTCAGCCACAGCAGCTGTGGCTAGTGTCATGTCTTCCTGGTGCACACCTAAAGCTAGGAGAGCTAGGAGACCCTCGGGTGCTGGCTCTGACTCCTGGGAACTGACAATTCATGAAAACAATTCCACAAGATAATGCACAGGGCCAAAAAAATGATACACTGAAATTAATAAAAACAATGTTTAATGTACCCTCATTTCAATAATGTCTTCTCCCCTCTATGCTTCGATGACTCAGAAATAGAACAGAACTAATTCCCAACTTTGAATTAGAGTGATAAACAAAGTGTTTGAAGAAAAGAACGACTAATTCCTCCAATCAGTTTGTGTACGTTTACCATGTAAGAGAGTAAAAGTTCCCAATGAAAAGCAGTCTATTTTCCCCTTAATTCTTATTGGCTGTTAGTTTTAGGCCTAATGAATATTCACTTGTGGCCTTATTTCATTGCATTGTGTTTCCCAGTTGAATGAACACTACCTTATAAGAATGTGTATGTATAATGGTTGAGTCTGCATGAGTGGGCATGGAATGTACTTTTGTTTAAAGCCATGGTTTATAGTGAGGAGCCCTAAAATTCTTGCCGGTTTTCTTTTGGGCGTGGTCCAGTCAGTTGGGACTACAGACTCCAAGCAGGAAAGTCACGCTACTGTAAGATCTTTTAGTAGAACCAGTTATAATTGTGCTAAAGCTAGAATTGAGTTGAGTTTATTCCAAATCATTTGACAAGCAGGATCTTCATTCACCTGTTTACTCGAGTGTTGATGCTTGAGTGTTGATGCTTCTAACAGTAAGTTAAAATCAATTCTGATTTAATTCCATACTAAGATGTGTCATTTTGCTAATTGTGTTTCTGGAAAGTATCAGTTTTGGAAATGGAATTTTCAAGTTAAACTTTTACAGTGAATACAGTTGAGTATTAAGTATTACTTAATACTTAACTGTACCACTTAACACTCAACTGTATTCATGGACTTTCAACCTGCACAAAGGTTTTACCAATGCCATTTACATGACAAATTTGGACTCAGAGTCAATTTTAAACATATTGGAGCCAACTCAGCAGACTCCACCCAGACTTCTTAAAGCTTGTTCTAAAGCCTGGAAACATTTAATTCATAACCAGCAACTACCATAACAATCCAACATTTGATTATAATGATTGTAATAAAAGAGCTTGCCTTTGGAAGAGTAGTGTTTTAGCCTGGTTGCTATCCCCACACTGAAATGCCACCATGCCTAGACAAGTCAGTAACTGGGATCTGAGCCCACCATCGCCAGCCAATTGCAGGGCTTGCTCATAAGCTGGAAACAGGACAAGAGGAAAATGAGTGGAAACGGAGAAAAAGCAATTCCAAAGGAAATAGCTGCAATGTCTCTAGCACAGTTGATTATTTTGACAAGTTCAACTCACCCTGGTAGCTAGCCTGCATGTTCCCTGTCTTGTAGAGGGCTAGAGCTAGATTGCAGATCTCTTCTAGCCGAATAAGAGGAGTGATGCCTTGAAATTGCTTGATGGCCTCTTCATAGTGGCCAACAGAGCTGGTCAACAGGAAATGTAGGAAATTTGAGTGAAAGAGCCAGTTCAGTATTTGAAACAGGCTAGGTCATTTGAGAACAAAACAACCAACTTTTATCATGTAAGTTTGAACATGAGAGTAAGTCGCTGTGTGGCTGTGTTGATAGGGCCAACCTCGCATGCATTAATGCTCTCAAATGACCTACAATGTGCTTCGCTTTGAGCTTGCATTGTTGAAATACCAACCCGATTACTGACAACCCAGTTATTGCTAATTACTACTAACTAAAACAAGTCAAGTTCCATGCTCTTTACACAGTTCGGCTACACACTCAGTGGATTTTGTAATGGCGCAAATCTCCAAAGCCTGGGATTGTGTCTTAACTTTCCAAAAACTCCCATGTTTTAAAACTGCTGTCCAAGCAAATGCTTTAGGGAATGAATCATTCTGACACTTTCTAAGAAGATGCACAAAGAGGGCCACTGACACAATAAAATTTTGTGCTATGTTTCGATTTACATACATTCTCTCCACAGCCACCAGACTAGAAAAGGAGCATTAAGACCCATGTAATCAAGCTAACAGTGTCCAGGATCTATCCTCCCTAATCTGGCAGAATTTTGAGGAAAGCTAACAATGAGCAACAACAATAGCAAGTACACCAGACTTACCAGAGACTTCTAGCATGATTGGCCTTAGCTAGGTTTAACCTCTCTTGGTCCCGAGTATCATGAACCAACTCCAATGCCCTGCCAAAATATTGAAGGCAAAGATAACCAGATAAGTGAGGGAGATTTGTTTTACACTCGTACCTAAAATGAATGAAACAGAACCTCTGTAATGGACCCTTTTAATCAAGAAAAGTCTATATAGTGCAAACTTGGGTGAAACAAACAAACTAACATGTATGTTCTACTCAC